AGTTTTAAGCCACCGGGTCCGGGACACGAACCACGGTCGACTACGTGGGAGTCCAGCGACATAGCCATTACGCTAACTGCTGGTTCCCTCTCTCACTCTTGCTCTGCCCTCTTTGGTCAAATTAAAAATAAATAAAGTTAAATCAAATCATTCTTTTTTTTTTTTTTTGAGCAGTTTTTGCTATAGGGCACGTGTGCTTGCCAAAAAGACAGAGAGAGACAGAGAGACAGAAAACGAGAAATCACCCCCAGGGAGGATGGTCATGCTGCAATCCCTTCTCCTCCATTCTCCTCTCAGGATCTTGGGCACGCACACACACGCGCCCGGCGTGAGTTTTAAGCCACCGGGTCCGGGACACGAACCACGGTCGACTACGTGGGAGTCCAGCGACATAGCCATGACGCCAACTGCTGGTCCCAAATAAAACAATTTTTTTTTAAAACCCCACAACTTAAAGGGTGACGGGTGATGTGTGTGCAGAGTGTCACCGGGGGCGAACACAGAGACGCGCAGAGACCCCTCGATGTTCCCACTCGCCTGCCGCACACTCGGTCACATTTTCACACACGTCAGATCACACAGCGACACCAAGGGGGAAATAAGCATACGGTCATCGCTCAGACGTACCAAGAGACGCCCAGGGCCAGGGGCTCCGCCGGCACGCAGGGTCCACGGGCTGCAGACACACACCGGAGCGCCGCCCCTGGTTTGCACGGTCCTGAATCCCGGAGTAACTCAAGTGGGCTCCAGAGCTGCGAGAGGAAATGGATGTCCTGGGTCTGAATGTGGCTGCCAGGCCGGGCTGCAGGCCTGGGCTGGGGCCCCCCACACCGGCCCCCTCCGGCTTCCCCATTGGCAGCGGAGAAGGAAGAAAACCCATAAGTCATAAAGCAAGGCTGGTGGGAGGGAGAGAGTTGAGGAGGCAGAGAATAGAGAGACGTGGGGAGACAGGAGCAACACAGGGAGTTGGGGAGAGATGCAAGAGAGAAGGAGAGACAAGGGGAGAGAGATGGGAGCTGGGAGAGAGTTAAGATGACAAAAATAGGGACAGAGACAGGAGAAAGATGGAAATTTACAGACGAAAATGACAGCTGATGAATTGACAGAGACAGACTGGGGAGAGAGGGAGACAGAGACAGGGAAGAGAAGACCGGACCTGGGGGAGAGAGGATGAAGACTTGGGGAGGGAAAAAAGGTAGGTGGAAGAGAGACAGATGGGAGGGGGAGAGAGGGGGTGTCCCCTGCCCCGACCACAAGATTGTGGGGAAGCAGCCAGGGGCCTGAGGCCAAGATTAGGGCTTGGAGCGGAAAAGAGAGGGGGTGAGTTATTCACCAAGCGCCGGCATGGCTCTGAGTTTCCAGAAGGTGAGGTGGAGTTTCCATCCTCCAGTCTGTCCACAGACAGGGTCTCCGAGGAGGACAGCTGGCCTCGGGAACTCTGGGATGAAAACGAGGAACTGCCGCCGCCCCTGCTCCCTTCTCTGGCTGCTCCCCAAGTGCCCAGATCCGGCGTGCCCAGCCTTCTGTATACATGATCGCTCTGAATTCACTGTGCAGGGAGGCACTCTTAGCCTTTTTTAAAGATATTTTAGGAGCCTTCGAGTGAAGAAAGTGGGCATCCAAATCGCACGGCTGGAAGAAGTAGACGAGACGGGATTCGAACCCTCAAATCTCTTTCTGCTCCACCCGGCACAGCGCAGCCCCGCTCCAGTTTCCGTAGAAACAGGCACCCGGAGTCTCCATAGCAACCACTCTAGTGTTTTCCCCCTCCCGCAACACACACACACACACACACACACACACACACACACACACACACACACACACACACACACACACACACACACACACACGCGCG